ATAGGTATCTTTAAGATGGGTAGACCTAGCATATTTTTAAATGAACGCTCGACCTCGACCCGGGATGTTTAAAAAGGCAGAGATGCCTCCTGACATCCCTACTTCAATCTTGAAATCTTGCATCTTGGAAGAAAAAATTCGTATCTGAGCTGGAAGCATCGACAGGCAGACGCCCTCCTGGGGATCCGGCCGAAGGATTCCACGGCTGCGATCTTCGTCCCCGATTCCTGCGTTTCTGTTTTCCTCCTGAAGCGAGAAGAGAAGAAAAACCGCCGAGATGGGGCGGTGAAATCTAGCAGAAGTCCGCCGAAGAGGAGAGAAGAGAGGATCCGTATACTGCAGATGGGAAAGGAGGTAGAAGCACTGAATCTGGATCCTACGGTCCCCGTTCCACACGGTACCCTCCGTGGGGAAAGAGAGCGAGAGCCGACAAGGAATAGCAGGTCACGCGAGACGAGAGATGATGACGCCGACGGGCGAAGTGGGGCCAAGCATTTGGAAACAGTAGGACGGTAGTCGCGGGAGAAGGAAGCGGACGACCTCTTGAGACTGCGTATCCGGCCGCTTCGAATCTCGACGACCGTCCTTGCACCCGGGTCCGTCTCTGGTCGGGTTCGCATGGGGCAATCGCGATCACCTAACAGTTTTCATAAAAATCAGCGCAGGAGTTGCGCAAACTGCTGCTAAAACTCACACTATATGCAAAAATCTTTCCGCACGACTCATTTACATCTGGACAGAGGCGTGGCGCGGGGTGCAGGGGGGGGACAGTTGCCCCCGGGCGTAGGGCTGAGTGGGGCGCAAACTCAGGGACCGAAAATTACCTTTATGTTTAGACTTTATTTGGACTCCATAGAAAGTTTGCTCCCCCCTCAGCCCTGCGCCCGGGGCAACTGCCTCCCCCCCCTCGCTACGCCTCTGCATCTGGACCAGGAGTTGCTCTGCCACTTTCAAGATAATCAATATCAAAGTATAAATTGTTATATCCTGAGCTGGAAAAGTTTGTTTTTATAGCTTGTGGTACCAACTGAGGTGTACAAGTCATTCTACAAGAAAATGGCAACAAATTTGGTCCTGTTTCGACTAACAATATTGACTTCGCGATTGCTCAGCAAATCCTTAGGGACTGGGCAGGTGCGAACAGCAATCAGTAACGAAATTTCATGCACTTTGCCTTTAACTCAAAGCACTGGGTGCTCACGAAAAGGTACTTGGCTTTGGGGTCAAATACTCTAATTCAAATTGTAATATAGGTAGATGATTGGAAGGAAAACTCGTGAAATTTAATCAAATCACGTGACATGCTCAAGATGCTGCCTGTCATCTTCACGTTTCACATTCGAATGGGCAAGGCTAAATTTTAAATATCAATTTATTCATATTAATTTGTTAAGTAAATAGTTTAAATCTAACAAAATTTCTCCGGAATGGTAAGAGCTAGTTAGCTGAAAGTCGGTAAGATGGAAGAATATATTTTCCATTGCCTGCGTAGGGGAGACCGGGGCTGGTTGTAACAAGGGTGATAGTTCTATGCCTTTTCGCTGTGCCGCATTGAGGGTGCCTGCTGTCGACTCAGACTGACGTCCGCCATCTTAAAACAAAACAACACGAGGCTGACCGTAGGAAAATTCTCATAAAAATCGTTTTTCGGGCCATGTAAGTTACATTTTTCATCATCAGAAAATTTGTAAAGCTTTCTTACATGTGCATTTTGAGTATTTAATTGGAGTATTGTTGAAAGTGGGTATACAGTTTCGTTGCTCTCGCTTGAGTGGTATGGAAGATAGGCAGGTTAGAGTAGTAACAGCGTCCATCTGACTGCATGCTGAGAACCGAGGAAGCGAGGATCATAATGGGTGATAGCATCTGGCCCTGAAGAGGTATATACGGTAATCAGTGGTATAGGGGTCAGAGCCTGTAGTGACAAGTGAAATGGCAGGTCTGTACTTACAAGTACAGTCAAGGTCTGTACAAGTCCAAATGTAAAGTTCCAAATAAGTAAGAACCTCAGTTTACTGAGCAATTCTGGCAAACCCTGTATCTATTCAAAGCCATGTTTTTTTAAATGAATTTTTACAGATTGCAAATATTGCATTGAAGGTGAATCACACCTAATCAAGAAACTTTACCTCTAATGAATGCATCTTGAAATTCTACTGTAAGAAGCTTCAAAACTGCCACACTTGATCAGTGTTATCGCATGAAAGGCAATCTACATTGCAACTCTCTTGGGCGTTCTGGAGTTCGTAATTAACGGCTTTATTGGCGCGACCCAGGCCCTGTATAATTAGAATACCATGGCCAATGAAACCTATGGAAAAGGAGATGTTACATCTTGACCATCATGGAGACAAACAATTAACATTGACCACAATGAAGAGGTAATGAAATTGTTATTGTCTGATGGAGTTGACACCACTAAAGAGTTTGTCTCTTCGATAAGAAGTGCAGGAGGGAGGGTCTTGAGCATAAATTTATTTCATGAAAACATAACAATGGTAATATAGCAAATATATAGTAAAAATAACATTTAAAAAACATGGTGCTGGTGTGCATATGAAACCGGGAAACTAGGAAGTCAGGATTAAAGGCACTGTGACATCTCATGGTACTGTATTGTGCCATGATCACAAATGAAAACATGAGATTGTGCAAGAGATTAAAAAACCTGGAATGATTGCATCACAATTCCCTGGGCAAGTGCAGGTCTGGAGTTTTCCTAAATAAAAAACAAACTATGAATGCAAAAGACGAAGAACAGCAAGAGAGAAGCACAGCAGTTAACAGTGTGCTGGCATCAGGATGCTCATATGTTGACAATTGAAGTTGATATAGGATGACGATGACTAAGTGGGAGGGGAATGCCAGTGCTTGAAGCGCTTGACAGCTCTCAACCAGTGTGGAATGACTTCATTACGGTATCTCTGGCCCCTCTCATCGTTGGGAAGGAATTCCTGGTCGAATTGAACCAAATCCTTCACCACCTCCCTTGACTCCCACACCCCTTTGGATTAGAAAAAGAAACTTGAGAAACATTCCTTTCAAACTTGATTACTTACAGTAACAGACACAAAGCATACTGAAAATTTGTTGCTGGGTGTGATCATTTGTTACAATAGGTGTGCAAAACAATAGCAAACCAGTGCTGCTGGAGAACTGAAACTTGTGCAATGATTTCTTGTTTGTATATGAATGAATTACAAGATAATGAAGACAATGGGCTGAATGCAAAGATCCTAAATAATACAATGCAGCACTAGCATGATACTAGTGTCTGTTAAAAGAAAGTTCACAAAATAGTGCATGCCTACTTTACACAGAAGTGTGAAAGTCTGAAGCATGATGTGGCCATTTGCTGAGCTGTCTCTGAGGATGGGATTTATCTGGATGGAAACCTCATTTCCAGCCCAGGCAACTCAGATCAATACTGACATTCAAAGCTTTGTCGTTGAAAATTTGTAAAAATTTAATTTGGACACCATATAAATTCCTTTAGGAAGACAGGGGAATTTCATCTCTTGGCATGGCCTTTTTTTATTAGAGAAGTTTGAAAGGGCTCATAGCCAGCCTGAAAATATTTTGGTTCTACATGCTTCCCATAATTCCTGACCCAAGTTAAAATAACTCCTTTAGGTAAGCCAGATTAAGAAACAAGGAAAGTCAAATTTACAAGAGGCTCTCATGCCACACAGCAGCATTTGTCCAAATGAAGGGAAAAAGGGGTTCTTTCTCCTATTTTACCTCTTTTACTGGTCCCTCCTGACATTGACAGCCCATCCTTCCCATCCCATCAAGAAAAGAAGAGGAAAGTGGTACTAAAGCATTTGAGTCTGTCTGTTTACTGGTGTTTTCTCATACTAACTACAGTATGTCCAATAATGATCTGCAGATGTCTGTATGACTGGATTTTGTCCAGAGAAATCCATTTTGGTTTATCAACCAATTCTCATCATCGATAGCTCATTTGAAATGTAACTTTTTTTGTAGATGGTCCATATCTATATATGGACCATCTAGGTGGGCTAGAAAAAACTAAAGTGAAATTATACACAGAAAGCTTTTACACATTGAGATTGCAGCAACCTATCCAAAACTCTCCCAGTGTTCTTGTTCACACAGACAGGCCACTTTCAACCTGAGTTGCCTTCATTCTAATTTAGCACCAATCTAGTTTCATGAAACTCTGTAATAGTTTCTAGGATTGTTGCATCTGTTAGAGTATCTTTTGGAAAACGATCCCCTTCCTCCAGCCAGTATCATAACTCTGGATATAGTGCCCAACTTTCCATACACACTCTTGCACTGAAAACAGGCTCTTCAATACAGGTTCTTCAGTACTCAATAATCAAACAAAATACAAAAAACCAATTTCACTTTAGTTTTATCTGCCCCATCCTGTAAATGTTTTTGGGTTGGCCTTTCATCTGACCTGAATGACCCACATGAATTCCAGACCTACTTTTTCAAACAATAAAACATTAGACAGTCTTTTCTCTCCTCTGTAGACATTAAGCTTTGCATTTAAAAATGCTGACATTTCACCCCACTATGGTCGATTAAACATGCAATCTATGGTTACTGTGAATGTGAGATGTGATCACAGCTGCAGACTATGCTGCCATGGTCAAAAACAGGGACAAAAAAAAATAAAAGACTGCATTGAAGTCTAAATCTTAAACATAGAGAAACAGATAGAGTGTTCATTGTTAAACCCCTGCACACAAAATCTTCTAATTTTTACTTTTAAGAAACGAATTCCTTGTCTTGGTCTCTGGATTGATCATTAGGCATAGTCAGGGCCTCCAAGCAGTTCTCAGGTGAGCTTGACTATGACTGATCAGAATACACAATCTCTCTAACAATCCCCAACCAGTGGTGAAAGTAAAAGGTCACCATCTAACTACAATGTGAGTCCATTTGTTTGTTTTTTTTTGTCAACCATATAGAAAAGCCTTTTTTCAGCTGCCAAAGGATGAAGTCTGAAAATATGCACTTCTTACTCGTGTGTGGAAGGGGATACAACAGAATATGAGAAGCATACCTGTATGAAGGCCTACAAGGAGTGCAGCACCAAGGGCAGTAGTATCATGGTTGCATGGTCGCAACAGCCGCTGTCCTGACAGATCTGCCAGGAGTTGAAGTAAAAAGTCATTCTGACTCACTCCTCCATCCACTCTATGATGGGAACAGGAATACATAATCTCATGACCCATTCTCATACTCTGAAGACTCTTCCATACAAAGCTATGACTACAGAGAAAACATCTCTCATACTATTTGTGACTTTCAGGAATCCCCTGGCACCATCTAGCTGAGGCATCATTTCAGATAGATGGTTCTAACAAGATGGTTCTAACTTGCCACACAGCCAGAATTGGTATGTGTGTTTTATGGTAAGAGTTTGGGGAAAGAATAATTACTCAGCTCAGCACTGTGAAGTGGTCCCCCAGATCCCCTAATCTGTCCCTGCCCGATTTCTTTCTTTGGGAGATGTTAAAGGTCAATGTTTACAAGACAGGAATAGAGATGAACTTAAAAGCAAATTACTGAGACTATTGCTGCAATTGATGAAGAAACACTCAGGACTGTTATGAACAACATGTTAGTTTGATGCAGAGAATGCAACAAATGCAAAGGACAACATTTAAAGAGTGTAATATTTAAAAAATAGAACTATGATAATTGGTTTAAGAATCTCCTGCATTTGTACGGTCAACCCTCAATGTAATGCCACTTGATATATCACCACTCTCGCTTAGCGCCAACTCTTTCCTGAGAACGAATGTTCCCCATAGGCTTATCATTGGTGCTCCCCGTTATAGCGCCACCCTTGTAAGCTGCCATCCGCCAATACCTTACCTTACACAAATGTGTCTTATTCAACGTAAGTCATACTCTATATAGTGATGAGCAGCATACTGTACCAGCTACAATGATTATCCCATGCTCTACCGTGGTGGAAAAAAATGACATGCTGTCAGCCTTTCCTTTTGATCGTTTGATAACAAAATTGTGAGGGATGACTTAGCTTTGGTATGGATGCCAAGGATTAGAGGGGGGCTTAAGGGATCTCCTAATCTGACCTAATCCTGCTTCTCCTTTTCTTTCTTTTTGGGAATGGAAACGCCTCTTTCAGTTCAAAGTTTCTCCAGGCGATTGTTCAAGTGTGTTCATTATCCAGTAATGGGGAAAAGGAAAGTTATAAGTGTGAGGGAAAAAGTGGAAGTGTGTTGTTACAAGGAGGCACATGCAGCCAAAAGTCAGCAAAACATTGCAAATCATTTTTCAAAGCTGTGTAGTTTTTGTTCTCCAATGGCAGCATGGATGAATGTTCATTTCTTTTTCTAATTCTATTTTAAATTTGAGTTATTTAGGAAATTTTCAGTTTTAAAGCCATGCTTTTTGATATAGCACCACCCTTGATATAACACCAAAATCAGCAAAGACCAACAGTGGCAGTATATCGAGAGTTGACTGTACTTCATTTTCCTGTAATAAACTTTTGTATAACTTATTTCAATCCATTTTATTACAAAAACAAATGTGTCAGAATTAAATGGACCACCCTGTAGTTGAACAAACCACATGAATAATCCTCCATTTTGCATAAGGAAGAAGAAAAAAAGGTATTCAAAGGTAAATCTAGTCAAGCTCATTCTAAAATGGATGTAAAGATCATAAAAGACAAAATCTTTGAATGTGGCTAGGTTATTGAATCATTTTTTCTGGTCGATCTGATAGATTCCGTTAGCAAGTCAAACTTATTAAGCCTTTGGGTTGTTCCATCCTGATTCACCAAATGTATAGAAGTCAAGATTCCAAAGCTTCCCTTGATTTTTGTAGAATTAGATAGAATGATGAATAGAATAGAATTAGTGAGTTGCAGTAAATTTTCTGAAAATTTTTACCAAAGCCATGAAAGACTCAACTGGAGGAGTTATGAAGGCAGCACTTTGTTTACAGTTTCATTTGAAAGAGATCAAGCAAATAATAAATATGATTTTACAAGTGAAAAAAGTTTTGTCAAGAATAAAAACAGATTCTCTAAAAAGGACTAATTTTTGGCAAGGTCCCAGATGTAAGTTTTGACTTTTGTCTCATGGTTTCCTTCTTTAAATTGCTTGTATTTAGAAATTTAGTCCAGTGCTGCATGAAGAAATTCCCAAAATCCCTAAGTCTCAAAGTGGGTCATATTTCTGCAGACAAAAATAAAAAAACAGAACTAGCATGAATCCTCCATATGAGTAAGCCTGAGATTAACCTCATTTCACTGTAACTGGCACCAGATCAGACAGCAAACCCAATAAGTTCCAATAATTTATGAGAACAAAATGGATACAAAAGCAGGGGTTTGGGAGATCATGATCAAGGCTTGAGTAGATGTGTTTCACCTAAGATCATGCAGCTGATAGGGAGTCTCACGTTCCATGCACTGGAAGATGAGATGAATCCGAAAGGCTAGGCTTTCAAGCATGGCTCGAATCAGGTGTGCCTTCTTGGTACTCATCTTTAGGCCTAGGAATCCTGTTCCAGCCAAGTCATCATCCAGTGGAGCCTGAAGAAAATGGATGGTAGGGCATTTGCACATCTGCATGCTCCATGGAGTTTTTCTTTTTTCATGAAAGATCACGACTATTTATTGTTTTAGATCAGATGTAGTTTCCTCAACAGCTGCAGGATTGTTACAATTGTTCTTGTTTTAGATTAAACTGGAAAGGAAATAGGTTTTATGTATAATTGAATGTAGACATAATGCATTGCAGACATCATACTCCTGGGTGTAAGTTTTGCCAGGTTTCTAGTCTGTTTGTCTTTGTATATTAACATTCAGTGAAGCCAGTAACAAGCTGTGCCAAAAAACATGCAAAAAGCTTACTATGCCAGAGAGTCAAATACTGAATGAAGTTTGAGGGCTTATAATTGCAATGCAAAGAAACCAATTCAAGATTTTTCCAGATATTTCTCAAAGAAGTAGTAAGGGACATTCACCAGCAGTCTGCAGTGTAACCAAAGCCACAAGCATTTGTAATACCAGCAAGATAACCATCTGGCAATAGCTTCCCAAGTAGAGTGATTCAAGACTGAATGATTTAAATTGCAGCAAAACTCCTTTTCACAACCATTTTTTTGTGAAATAGAATTTTTTCCTCTCCAAATAGATCCCCTGTGAGACAATCACCCAGTGCGAAGACCATTTTTGCATGGAACCATGAGTGCTTGGCTCAAAGGGGGTTTCACTGTAGCAACTTTGTCATCCTGTTGATAAGTCATGTATGGTGCAACAGAGAACAAATGAAAATGATAGTTTTGCACTCAATTCAGACATTTTCCCACTTGACTTGAATGCTCATACATGAGGAACATCTCATGCATGAGAGTCCAGGTCAATTGAAAAATTGAGCAACTCAAGTAAAAAACACTGTAAACTTAGAATAGGGTTTATAAGGATAAATGTTGCAATATTCCATGTCAAATCAACACAGCCATTTACCTGACCCTCTCTGATTTCCATGAAATTTTCTGAGCTTGTAGGGACTATTAAAAAACCATACCATACCAAATTGCAGCTCTCAACCTGAAGTACTTTCAGAGAAGTAGCAATTTGAAAGTAGCAAAAAGTGACAAATTTTGGGTCAAGTCATCATCACTTAAGTGTGTATATTCTTTTTTCTAATCAACATAAAAAGCTGATATTGGTGTCAGTTTAAAGTTCTTTTCATGCACTTTCAAATGATATGTCATTCTAGGACCTTTAATGAAAATGAAGGTCAAAGGTCAAAGGTCAAAGGTCTAACCTTTAATTACAGAAAAAACATCATTTTTCTTTCTTTCTAGGAATTATCATGCCATTGCCAATTTCTTCTGCATAAGTGCTAAGAATTTCAACTTGGGACTGCTGTGGGATCAGGAGATATGAACAATAATGTGGCCACAAGTGGCCAAAATTCTGAAGAGAATGTTCTATAAATATCTGGATACATCCAGTTTGAGCAAAATTTATTGACCCAGAAAAGAAGCTTCTGAAACTTCAATTACATTCTCTATTCTACTCTATTTCGAACAAAGCAGGAAGCAACTTCATATGGATGGAAGAGAAAGGCACATGGCATGACCTGAAGTCCAGCAAAGGCAGGGATGAAACAGACTCCATGGGCATCAGGGACTTCCTCAGCCAAGGGACCAGTGTCCTTGGGTTCAGAGACAAGTCCCACCCTGGATGCCCACTCCATGACAGTTCCTACATCTTTCAACATCCCCTCAGCCATGTAGGTCAGCTCTGAACCTTCAAAACAACATAAGCATCTATGTATCGGTTCTTTCATGGTATTCATTTTCATTTCAAACAACCGCACCTCATATTAAACCAGTATTTCTGTCAAATATGTACCCAGAGATGCACTGATCATACAGACTGGAAGCAACTGCAGTAAGTCATAAAATCAAAGAATAAAAAATCTTGCATCATTGAAAATATTTCTTATGTAAGAGGAAATGAGGTTATGGTCTGTCCCTGTGAACAGTGAAGCTGAGAAACCAGTCCCAACCTATCTTCCATGCAACCACAGGGAAAATGCCAAATACGGATGAGATGGGTTCATTCCCAGTGTTTGTATTGAGAAATCCTCCAGTGCCAAGAGTAAGCTTCAAATCTCCCTTCTTGAAGCAACAGTTTCCAAACAAGGATGCGCTTTGGTCCCCAATCTATCATCCAAATCAGGAGATAATGGACAAAAAAAAAAACAGGAGGTGAAAGATGCATTAGACTTGAGTGAAAACATACAATTTGAGAAAAAGAAGGAACAAATGGGCATGAATTAGACTCACAACACAGACTATGGGGATGGTAAAGGGTAGGATCCCAGGAGCTGTATTTCCAAAATTTCCAACAGTATCCCAGACTTGAGGCAGGATGATGTTCTGAATCCCAAGAAGATGCAACAAAGGCATTCCCCAGTCCATTGCATATGGATCATATAATGCTGTTGCTGAAGCATTTGAAGGTTCTGTTACATGAAGCTGCAGAGAAGCCAAGCCCATTCATGAGAAGGGAATCAAGCCCCAGTTTCATCATATGATGACAATGACAGACCTTCCCCTGGGTCAGTTTATATAGAATCCAAGTGTCCATGGTTCCAAACATGGCTGTCTTTGCCCTTAATGCTTCCCTCAACATTTCATTTGTTCTCACTTCCCAGGCCAACCGAATTGAGACCTGATAATAATAAAAAAATAATGACAAAAAAAGAACAACCATCTCAGTAATATGTCATACCGGTGGACACGGACTCTTGCTCACATGAACTGTTGAAAACTTGAAATGTGATAGTGCTCCTAGGCGACTGATTCTAGTCACCTTATGCAGAAGCCACAATATGGACTTGATGAGCTGATTTGAAGGAGGACACATGCAAGTTATCCCATAATTAAAACAGAGACTACCCACAGAGCCAGGCAGTAACAAACTTTGAAGATGAAGGAGGAATTCTGGGTGTGAGCAAACTGTTCAGCTCGGAAGTCCTGCCATGTGATGAGATTATGGAAAGGGATTCCTGTGTGCTTATCCCAAGTGATGAAAGTGCTCCTTTGAGTGCAGATGCCTAGGCCTTTCAATGCTGCTCCATCCAAGGTCAAGCCAGCAGCTTGCACAGCTTCAGGAATGACAGAGAGGATGGAGTTCCAGAGGTCATCTGGATTTATCTCCATGTGACCTGGCTTTGGTGATAACACTTTCACAGGTTGACTACTCCTTCCAACAGGTTCTATTCTTTCATCAAATACATGACACCTTACTGATGTTGTCCCCACATCTAGGGCTGCCACATATTGCTTCTTCAGCCCACCCATATCCTAAAATATGAGATTCTTCCAGGAAATTCCGATGAGATGATATTTATCTCATGTCAAGATCTGATGTGTAGATAATCCTCAAGGAGTAAGGCATCACTGTGTGACTGGCATAGATGGAAGCAGCCATTCAGCCTCAACCATTGCTACATTCAAGTTTTTCTCAAAAAATGGAAAATTGTGGCCCATGTTGACACACTATACAATATCCATTTTCATCAAGAATCAAATATGTATTGTATAAATAAAGAATATGGTTATGAAGAGGTGGAATCTACATGACTGGGAAACCAATGCAATAAAAAAAATTTGAAGTTGGCCAATATCATTCATTTCACATTATTGTCAATCCAGAAAATACATAACTGATCTTCCAGTGACAGGAATGCCACTCACAATTGTGTTCAGGAAGAAAAGCCTTCATTACTGAACATTCTGACATACATCACAAAGACTTCACAAGATTCAGGGAAAGAACAGCTAGCATTCCATCCTACGTATATGAAATTATCCTTCTGCATTCCACTTTCAATATTTCCTACTTTATATTTTCAACTGTTATCATTTTAAATGCAAAGCAAGAAACAACTGACATGTCTGACATAATATACATATATTCCAGAAATCAAATCTATGTGAGCAGCAAAAATAAGAAATTCTATGATTCAACTTTGAAAAGGGAAGCAGTGTCACATGAAAGTATACTAATGGCAAGTGAATAAATTAACAGGCACTTGAATGAAGAAGGGCACATAAGTTATGAATGCCCCTTCACAATCACCATGTTCACGTAGCTGACTTCATGCTACTCTGAACTTTGACATGAGATGGATTGTCATTGATCTGGCCATTTTGATGGTTTTTCTTGGATTCTGAGGAGGAGGGCCGGAATGTAACATAAGTATAGCAGAGGCTACCCACAATGCTGTAAAAGAAGGAAAATATTTCAGGAGGATAGAGGGTAAAAATGGCACTTGAGCAACACATCTTTTTCAAGACTTACCTGACATTGAGACCAATGAAATTTGGCCATGAGAAAATATAATCCCCTCCAATGAACATCCCTGCATATGTTACTGCAATGTTCTTCAGGGACCCGATGACAGAAGTTGTCAGGGCAGAATTATAGTGGGTACAAAGGACAATGCTGTATTGCAAGACGAATCCCATCACACATGCTCCTATAAATCCCATGAGGAACATGGGGTTGTTCCATGATTCATAGGCGACGACCTGAAGTGACATAAAAGCAAGAAAAACTGATGAATGTAGAGGGGAGAATATGTTTCATGAAAATCTCCAAATGACATAAGTAAATGCAAGAAAAATCAACGAAGGTGCAGTGGGAAATGATACGTGACCTTCTGGTGAGGACAGAATCTATAAGATGCTCTTCCAGAAACTGAAAGTCTTAGTTTTCTTAAACTTGCTTAAGAAAGCTTGCAGGACAACTAACTAAAGTCAAACTAAGTTCTTTTTTAGTGGCAATAGAATTGCCATGAATCTGCATTTCAAAGGTGACTCACCAGCATTTCACCATACCCTGGAATATAATATATTCTGAGATATTATTACAGCACTGGAGCTTCTACAATTTTTAAAGATCCACTTTTCACAGTTTCAAACTTAAAAGATGGAAGGAAGTTCCAACTATCCTGTCCTTTCTATATTGAACCAAGGCAGATGTTTCTATATAAAAAAAATTCCCATAATAATAATTAGCATAACTGCTACTTCATATTAGTCCTCCGAGAGTCAAATTGCAGAGCATAATTCTGTCGTGTCCTGTTAGCTGATGACAGTTTCATCTTAAGTTTTTAGTTCTCCACACAACCAATATTTATTAACAGACCAAAATGAAAGGAAGCATCAACTCTTAATCCAGAAAACAGGACTTGTTAATAACAAGCTGGGCAAGACCAGTCCAGTAGTGGGCCTCCTTTCAGTGAAGGAGACCTTCATTTTATCACCTAGATGAACAAAATGCTTTCTCTTTCCAGTCCTTGACCATCACAAATCTTATTTCTCAATTAGATTCAGTAAAAACACAAATAATGCCCATGATATGATGGGAGGATGAAGGATTGTGCATGGTTGGATCAATCTGCCAATGCTAGTACAGAACTGACAGCTCTGGTGGCTGATACAGCCCAAGGTCTGAGTTGTATGTGTGTGTGCATTGTGGTCCAGATTCTTAAAGGCTCACAGGTATTCCCTGTCATGACCAAACTTCAAATCCAAATTTCGCCATGAAAATGCCATTTTTTGTGCAAATTCACCACAAAATGAAATTAGCCTGTATCTTGCTACCTGCTTGATAATTTTTACAGTCACATGAGTTTAATATTTGTCTTCTCTCCTTTCTGACAATGATTTCATGCAGATATAACATGCTGGTGAATAGAGAAAAGGCCAACATAAGGCCTGTGACATTTAGAGCTAATTTAAGAATTTTGCAAAGCTATTTCATGGCTTGTGCTTCATTTATAGTCATGACATTGAAAGTTCAAGTGCTTTAAATATATGCAAGTATGAGGAAACTGACCAGATCCCACTCCCCATTGAAGAAGACAAGGAGCATGGTTGGTGGGAGCATGAAAGCTGCATTATAGAAGAGAAGTCCATTCTTCCCCAGTTCAGCAGCATCTAACTTCTTCTTCATATAGACAGCATTTGTTGCAGTGAAGAAGTCATTTAACAGGACCAATGAATATCCATATGCATCAAAGCCCAAGTCATTCCTGCAATATATTTAATTTGATCTACAGTGATGGCTACAGATATTACATCAGATTCATATCTAGGTTTACTGGAGACGTGAAGACAATGTGATAATCAATGCCACAAATCATGAGGAGTGATGTCTCTATTGCCTCAATCTTCAATGGATTGAACTTAAATGTTGATAGGCTTAACTGTGGGTGATTAACACCAGATCCAGGACTATACTAGGCCCACATGTATAAACAACACAATGCAGAAACAGTTGCACATCTAGGCATGGAAGTGAGCCAGAAAAGGAGACAATACTTTATATATATCACATCTAGGCCTACTTGCAAAAGCTATCCAATATTTATAAGCAGCACCATATTTCCTGGCCAAATTATCTACCATAGGATTAGATGCAAAGTTTGTCAACAGTTACAGTTGCCAATGTCTCTTCTTCCTGATAGAAAATTATAAGCAGAGTAATAAAGACATTTGAATCCATAAGGATGAAAACAATGTAAGAAATGCATGGAAAAATGACTCACGAAGCAGCTATCACAGAACCAAGGATCATCAGGTAAACAGACATTTGAATGGCAGGTGAAGGCACTTTCCTGCAACAGAGGATTAGTGATCCATCAGCAAGTGATCATATGAGGAATAAATCATGCTAAAATATCACACACATGTAATAAATAGCACTCACCTCAAGACAAGCCACTCACCAAACATGGTCATAAGCATAGAGAATCGTCTTAATACTGGCAACATTGGGAGACTGCAAAGAGAGGGGAGAGCAGCATTTACTTATTAGCAAAGAGAGATAGGCTTAGGTCACCTTGATTGATGATTGACAGAGACTGACCAAGATATTGGCAAATAAGAACTCACCTGATTCGCTTTGTACCACCAAGGCCAGAAAGGAGATTGCCAAGATACAACAGGGGGAGAGGAAATATCTGGTTGATAGAAAATGTGAAGGATAAAATGAATGGGAGGATCATCATTAACCTCATGTCAAACAAAATAATGCTTGCTTCTTTTTCAAGGTACAAGGTTTGGATATGGATGTGAAGATCCACCATGAGGGCATATCAACATACCATGTCCTTACCAAAAACCCAATCAAGACTGAGTATCCTTCCTCTCTCCTTTCCATAGATGGGCCAACAATTCTCCTCTAAAAATCTGGTAATGCACAGCTACATTAGTCCCTTTCTTTCATTTTTTGCTCATAAGGGCATCTAACCTTTTCCTAAAACTACATGCAGAAGGGGCAGCCACCACATCATTACTTAACACATTCCATTGGAAAAAATTATTCCTCAACTTATTATTTTTATGGACAGGAGGTTCATCCTCTTCAACATGACATGTATACAGAATGTAGTAAAAAAAAAATTAGAATTCCACCTTTTAATTAACAAGTCTCTGGTCCTAGTGCTGCATTTTTCATAAAACGTACATTGCATATGCATATGTTTCTAAAAGATTTGTGAAGCTTTATTCAAATTCATTGTGTAGAAGCAAGGCTATGAGAAATAATTTAAATTATGGATATCAAATACAAACAGGAGCATGAGCTGTTTGTCAGAGGAAATGGCTTTCCCCTGTGGCTGCATGTCATTTAGGCCTCATTAGATTTCTGTCCTATCAGTATATATTTGGGCTGGCCTTATGCTGCAGATGGTTTTGACAAGCTTAAATTAGTTTATACTCATGTTTTGCTCTGCACTTGCATTTCCTAGAATGTATTTTTGTAAAAATCTTTTATTTTAAAATATAATAGCTACACATCAAATCATGAGTGTTTAAGGCACCTAGCTTTATATGACCTGCTAGTGTATGCAAAATAACCTTATGCTGAAATTTAATTTTGAAATTTGCACAATTTCTAGTCCCTTTTCTTACATCAGGTTACATATATGTGGCAAATGAAATTTGGGCAAGCTGAATACCATTGATGTTGCACTAAGACAAGACAAATAGTGAAAACAACTAAGCATAAAATAACCAAGGAAAAACAAACTCCCGGGCTCTTCAGTTACATTGGTTACATAGACCAGCTGTTAACCCTTTCAGATCTGGCATCCATTTCAATAGACATTGCAATTTCATTGTGTCCATGGTAATTTCTTGCGATTCTCTTGACTTTGTGCCCCATATTACACTGCAATGGGTGCAATTATGCATGGCTCAATTCCATCAGAGGCCTTCTTTCACCCATCAGTTTTTTAATCTTCAGTTATGTAATGAAATGGATTATATATGGTAAATTTATACAAAACATAAAAACTATATCTAAAACATAAAAATGTCAATTACAATGGCAAAAGAACTCAAAAAGGCAAAAAATGATATATCAATAGTGGCCTTAATTCAGGTCTGAAAGGGTTAAGAATGGAATGTAGTGCAAGAACTAGCATTTTGAACATAATAATTGAGGAGTTCTCTGGAAAAAGGGCATATGTGCAAAGGATGCAATTTAAGATAAATGATAAAAACTTCCCATAATTAATCCAAAGCTGGTCAAAACTTAATTCTCAGTAAAATGGAATCTCATACATTTTTCAAAATGAACTTAGGGTTTTAATTAATTTCTTTATCTCACATTGCTGGGATGCAGGCAGAAAGTGTTTATGAACATACGCCCTTTTTCTATATCCGCACTGCTGAAACTTTTTCCAAAGAGTCTTTCACCACTTCTTTCCCACTAAAAATAATATTCAATCAATAAATGCATTGATAGATTTTATATAAACTCTTTCTTAAAGAATAGCAAGAAAAATGTGAATATTCAGGACACATTTCATTTGTTGATCACTCAGCAATGATTCAATATTAATGAATTCATTATCTGAATCTGCAAATATTTCATGGATATCTTTAACTTCTCATATCCTTCCAGAGGCTAGAATGACTGGGCCTCTTCCTTTCCCAATCCTCATGTCTGTTTTCTCCCTCATTTTCATTTTCAGTTGAAAAGGACAAAATAATTCCACCAAAATCGTTCATCATGCAAGTGCTAATGGAATATTCATGGAGGCAGCCATATTGAATTTGCCAGGCAGTTGGTCTGCTATATAGTGAGAGCATAGGAAAATCTGCTTCTCCTTTGTTGAATACTCATCTTAACTACTTGCTGACCACCCTATCTGATGACAAGTCATCTAAAGCTGCACATGGACAGATATGGAAAAAGGGCGTATGGGCACATACGCCCCTTTTCCAAAGAACTCCTCAAATGAATCTTTTCTCAATCTCAATGTCTTCTTTTCCACCAAAAAATATTCATTTTCAGTCCTCTCTGGCTGCCAAGCAATGCCATGATATCCTTAACTACATTATAGGCTGCCTTGCAAAATAATCATGAAGATGAGAGGAAAATAAATGATCATGTAACTCATTTAGGAGTAAGGATAGATAGAACCATACCAAGCTTATAAGGTAGAAGGCAAACAGAGAAGCACTAAAGTATCCCCTAAAAAAAATGTAATGTATTAATGACATGCAGGTTTTTCTTCAAAGAGTGTAGAGTAATGGAAGGGAAATTTTTCCAGTATACTTTCCAATTTTCCCTTGCCTTGCTTTACATGCAATATGAATTTTCTTTGATATTCACACAGCAGTAAAAAAAAAAAAACATTTAAAAAATATATATATTGAAAAGAATAATATGTCAACAAAACCTTTATCTAATACATTACATATTTAAACAGAAATCCATGATTTCAAGCCATATGTTCTGACAAAAAAGTACTGACCTTTTGGGGAATGTCCGTAGAGAAGTCAGGAAAGGTGAGGATACCTCCTGTCTTGGACAGCTGAAGGACTACCACAATAGCTATCATTTGTCCCATTCCCAAAAACTGGTAGGATGGAAACCTGAAATGCAGAGCACAAAATCATACCCATTCTGAGTTTTCAAAAGAGTTCTCCAACTATTCAACAGGGCAAGCTGAAAGCCTAGCTTCTTTCAGTGTCATCTCAAAAGCATCTGAACATCTTGCAAAATTGGAAAAGGGGATGCAGTGAATAAATAAATGAAAATTTCCTATCAGATTTCACAAGTACATAAAAATGTTGCCTCCCACTCCAAATAAAGAAATGCTATGTCTATGATTTTGCTACCAATTATTGGTTTTGTTCCAAGTCACACATTCATAGATTCACGGAATAAGGAGTAGTTCATAATTTGTCACAAAAAATTACTTATTACAGTTACCCTACAATCAATCCTTTGATGACTGTATAAATTAGTCTCAATTGGAACCTCTTCTCTCTGGCAATCTAGGAGTTACATGCCACCAGCATCTGAGAAATACTATGGTATCTATTTTGAATTGACAATTAGAAGGGCAAGGAGAAATAAATAAATTCTTACAAGTCACACACGATAAACTTGGTTTTGAAGAAATTTCATCAAGTAGCAAATTTATTAGGAAATAAATTTCATTTCACATTAAGAATTTTTATGAACATAATTTAGCAAAGGAACTCACTTGAGGGAAGTGAGTACCCATTTGTTGATCACAACAATGAGGAAAGATGACACTGCAAAGAATAGAGCTGAGGATACCCGAAGAAACAATGAAGCTATGCCTGGCATAGTTGTTTCTTTCTTCTGCTCCTCCCCTCCTGAAATTCAATGCTCTTAACCACTTAGAAACTGAACCAGGAGAGAGGGGAACTTCAAGAAAATCATGGCACATGCCCCAAAGCTTAAGGGGACAAATGAAGATCTGGAAGAGGAATCAATGCATGAGAAGTAGGCCTTTGTGCAAAGAAAATAAAGGATAGGATGATACGGTATTAGCATTGGTAAATGTTAAATATAGTCAGGAATAAGAATACCTTCATTAATAACTCAAAGTCTAGATCTGTTGCCTTCAAAATATTCAGCACAGAAATATTATCACAGCTAGCCTATTTTTTTATTATTTACAAATGAACATGGCCTCTACCCATTCAACTGAAACAGCCAAATGAGATGCAGAAGCTGAACTTTGGGCATTCCGTTGCCTCCACCCATGGTACACACCATAGAAGGTAGGTCCATCAGGGCCAGCTCTAGCTATTTCAGTGTCCTGTGCAAGGAGACTCTCAACATGTTATGCCACCTATCTCCTATAGGGAGATGGGTCAATCCCTAGAGGCCAAAAAGATGCAGAAACAGAAGGAATTTCAACTTTCTGAAGAAAAACTGCAGGTGGCATCCCTTATTACTTCATTCATTCAGTCACATTTTGGTGTCTGGTGGATTTGCACCCTGTGGACTTTTGGCACATGTCTAAGGCGAATTCTGAGACCCATGCAATAGCAATTTACAGGAATGTTGATGACAATGAGGAGAAAGTATAAGGGATTCACCAATACTATTGAGGATACTTATTTCAGAAAAATAAGGCATAATGCACACCTCATCACTCATGATATTCAAAATAACTATATTTATGTTACTCCTCACTGTCATCTCATATCGCTCCAATGCATTTTCCCCAATTTTAAATGCTTATGGCATCACCTTTCCCTACTTTAAAATCGCAAAAGTCCTTCACTTTGAACCAACAGGGTTGTTTACATCATTTTGAACCTTGCCATGCCAGCTTTAAACATTATGTTTGCCATATTCAAAATCAGGTAACCCCACTATAAATCACCATCTTACAAAATGTGATATAATACAGTAAATTCTTTCTGTCCTTCCAGAGATAAGACCAACCACTTAAAGAAAGTGACTGTGCCCACATCCATGAAAAAGCCTTTTTTTATTACTGGAATGATCCAGTTCAAATAAGATATACATCTAATTAAAAAACTAACCAACTTTTCCTCAAAGATCATCACTATATTGGTAAGGTTACTAGTACCTTTGAACATGAGTTTCAGAAGAGCTTGTGCTCCATGTGTCACAGGAACAGGAACTTTCTCTCCTGGTGCTAGTAACACTGGGGTGGGAGTGGTTGATTTTGCTCTCCTCTGAAATACCGGTACTTCACCTTCATGCAAGCTTCCACTCATTTCATATGCAAGGGTAGAAGCTACACTGATGTGCACAGCTAAATAGAAAGCTTATAGGGCCTCGAAACATAGATGAATGAGCAACAATGTGGAATTTTCTGCTAGAAACAATCTCAGCAAAATGCCTTCTCACCATGACTCAAACTGTCTTGTGCATGAGTAAGAGAAGGAGAGGGACTCAAACTGCCTTATGCATTTGTGCATAAGAGCGAGAGAAAGGGGCTCAAACTGCCATGTGCATTTGTGTATGAGAGAGAGAGAGAGAGAGGGTAAGTATGCAATGAATGGCATAAATATCTCATGACAACTTGACAAGGAGGCATGAGGCACCAGAAGAGCCACGGACTTCAATGACCAACATAGCTGTTGGTCATAGAAGTTCAGTAAATGACTCCTGCATCTGGATGTTAAGATCAAAACAGCTTATGCCAAATTGCACTGAGCTTAAATCTTTGAACAAAAGGGGAAACTTTCATTGGAAAATTTTTTTAAAATAACAGATCACGTCAGCCAGACCTACCATGCTACTCTATTGCCCCTCTTGCTCCTATACATGTTTTTCTCCTATATATATATATATATATTAATAATATTCTTAAAGGCCTCTATATTTACCCTAGAAAGTCACATAATTCCTTCTAACACTTATCATATGTTGAATTGTAACTACACCATTTTAAAGGTTATTTATTCCTCTTTAAATGCTGTAAAATGCACGAAAATATATGCAGTGAATGAAGTGTAGCGTGCCATTGAAAACAACTTTTTTTTTCCCACCCTAAAAACTTATTTGCATGGTGACAAGTGATCCGACATGTCACATGATGTTCTTCCACTCTTTCACAGAGACACATGCACTTTTTCAGACAGGTCAATTTTGCATACCTGCAACATCTACTCTGACTTTACTCCTGACTGAGTTGGAGGTAAAATCATAGAAGTATAGTCTGATAGCAAAAACCTGAAATAGAACATAATGTTATTTAATTCCATGCAAAATAAAACATCCATTTTTAGACATAAAAAAGCAGTGATTCCCAAACTTTCTAGCTCCACATACCACTTGCCTCCATGGTGCATATGTAGCATATCACCACTTGTCCCAAATATGCATATCCCACAAAATATATAAGACTAGTACAATCAACCCTTGATATAGCACCACTATTGGTCATCGCCGATTTTAGTGCTATAATGAGGGTGGTGCTATATAGAAATAACTATATCCTGTATTATATAGGCCTATGGGGAGATTTGTTAAGTAGATGAGGTTGGCAATAAATGAGAGTGGTGCTATATCAAGTGGTGGTATAATGAGAGTTGACTGTACTTTATTTCACAAGTTTAAAAAAATAGGTCTTTTTTTAAACCTCTCATGTACCACCTGGCATTGCCTCTCATTGCCACCGGTGGCATGTATACCACAGTTTGGAAACCACTGCCTTAAAGTAACATCAATGATATTCATTTTCTACAACTTGGTACTTGCCCAGCGAGACTTCATTTATTGATTTTCTTGTACATTTCAATGCTGACCATGGGCTGACATTTTCATGGAAAGGCCCTACATTCTCTTTCCCTAGTTCCTGAAAAAAATGGGGTCATTCCAAGTCATGGTTTTTGCCAAATATGCCAATATTGGTGGCTTGGCTTCTAAAAAAAATCCTAAAAAATAAAAATAAATACAGCTGCAAGGGCCCAAGAGAAATCTCCAAATCTGATTCTCCCTCTGCAGCCCCTTTGAAAAATATATGTTGCAAAATGGATGGGTCTGGTTAGTTTGAAACCTTAGGGAAAATTCTGTAACTTCAACACTAATCTAAAAAGAGCGAAGGTGCAATCGCTACTACATTATGTCAAGTTGCAGAAATAATTTGACAGAAATGTAAACTTACTCAGTAACTTTTTGCTAACAGTAACTTTCACTGATAATTAATTACTGCCTAGGCTAAATGCAGGGAGTCCCAAAGGACATTTAAAAAAATCACATTTACTAAACAATTGATGCAAAAAAAGAAATAACATTAGCTGAAACATAGCATGTCATTTGGAATTATCTTTTTAAAAAAACTGAGATATTTCTGGCCTTTGAATATTTGAAAGTGCCTCAAAATGCACTCTGCCTATATCAATACATTTGGCATGTGGCTCAGCACCAAAATATAGCCAGAACATCCTTTGAACTCTTATGGGACTCTCAAAGACCTCCATTCAGGTTGCAACTTTTCTTCATTGCTCCAACATCAATTGCAAAATCTCATGAATGAAAGCAAATCAAATTAAATTAAGAATTTTGTTTCTACAGTTTATCTAAAAATAAAAGGAGAGATATACATAAAGTTTAGCAATTTTGTAAAAGAAGATTCAACAAGGTATACCAAAAATGCCCCTAAACAAGTACACCTTTCTAATATGCAGTTGAAGCTAATTCCATTTGAGTATGATTCCAAGTCAGTGTCATAAAAAAAATTATAAAGGATGCTCGTTCCATCAATACTGACAACAGTTAACTGCATGTTGCAGTTTGAAAATATTGCAATTTGAAGTGGTATAGTGATTTATGGGGCACTCTATACTTGTAACTGTAACCAGACACCTCTATAATGTAACTTGCTCAACATTGGAAAGTTTTGGCTGTGACTTGACTGAACATGAACGGTAATTCTGAATTATTTGTCATGATCATTGATAAAAGGGAAGATTTATGTCTATAAAAAAGTTTGTCTGTCATGCCAATTATAATCTCTGGCTCTGGTGCGGGACTCTTCATAGAGATGCTCAGAAATAAAATCTATCTTCAGAAAGAACTGCCATGGAAATGAAGTGCACTCTCCACATAATACTAGTGCAAGGACAGACTGTGCTAGTATTTTGAACTCCATGCTGAAAACGAAGGAATCCCAAGTAAGGGAAAATAGACCTAATATTGTGGTATTCCTAACTACATTTCAAAGAAAAGCACTAGGACTCCAATAAAACGGGTCGACATCCAGCAAACCTACAAGAATACTAGTCCATTTCGCGGACCTAAGTTTAGGCCAACATATTGCATTCATTGGCAGGAGCCCGACATGACAATCTTGGTCAGAAGCATGCATGCGAGCAGATTCATGACGGCAGAAACCACGATAGTAGGGAGGAGGGGTGTGTGAACCACTGTGTGAACATGGGAACCGCCATGTTAATTACGCAGACTCAGAGTAGGGAGAGGATGGGGCACCATGGGTCACTCTTTTTATGGGGCTGCAATTTAGGCATATTTATTCCTCCGAAGCAATGGAAAACGCTGCATTAATAGACTCGCATCACCTGTGCAATCCTCTGTTTTAAAGTTCTCAACCTCCAAGTTTCGAGCGACAAAGTCACATTTTAAAATGGGGCACCATTAGTCAGTGTCCATGATACGAAGAGTCGCCCCAATAATCATCGCTGAGGTTCAGTTGGCCCGAAGTCCTCACATGAGCGTTTGCACCACAAAAGGATAAGTTCTTAGATACTGATACACTTCACCACAGCTATCCGGAAGAAGGAGCCTTTAATAAAAAAATAATTACGATTTTTTCCACGCCCAAGAACATCACATTTGCTGATGTTAAACCCTTCAGAGTCTTGCACTTCTAATGGCGCATTATCAAGTCGGGAGAAGACTGCAAATGAAATAATGATCCGCATTGACGATACTCAGAAAAAATTTGGTGCTCTATAAATTTTGACAATTGTGCTCCAAATAGAGTGACCC